TATATTAGGAAATGCAAATTACCTCCTCAAGTTCAGTATCATAAGAAAAAAAATGACAAAATACCAATAAAAAATTGGAATAAGTCAGATCCCATTTTTACAGGAAAGAAAACTACCTCTAAGAGACATTATACCACAGGGAAAAAACCATATACTTGGAGAAATCTACATGGAGGCCTATTGGGGACAAGAAACAATTGAACAACTTCTTAACTGGTTTGTCACTAGCATGAGAGCTGATAGCCCCAATTTGAACTGTGGACTTCCCATCACCAGACAAAACTAAAATTGAGGAAATGGAGAACTAAAAGGACTCAAAGTGTGGGGACCAAAAATTTCTGAATATAGTCAGTTCTCACAAATTCGAAGGAAAGGATAGGAAATGGAGAACTAAAAGGACTCTAAGTGTGGGGACCAAAAATTTCTGAATATAGTCAGTTCACAAATTCGAAGGAAAGGAAATGGGAACTCAAATAGGGAAGTATATATGCTTCGAACAATGGAATCTTGACCACAACCAAGCAATTTTAGGAGAGAAGAAAAGGCAGAACTATGGTTTGTACAAATCTTTTGTTTAAACAAATGGTGGCTTCAATGGGACAGAGAGGTTGTTCTCTTGGCCGGTGGCAAAGCCAGTGGATTTCAGGGGAGCCTAGTCAGCCCAGAAGACACACTAATAACATAATCTCCACACTAAATTATTCTCAAAACCAAAGAACACTCTCATTAGCATCAATGTGACTCTACTCCACCACCCCATCTATTTCTTTATCTTTCTTTCTTTCTCACTCTCACTCAGTATCTTTACTCTGCTTTCTCTGTTTCTTTAATTATTTCTTCTATACCAAATTCCAATATATATGCTATAGATTCACATCACCAGAAAAAAACCTCAGCTCTCTTAAAAGTTTCAAGTTCCAAACCCCATAAAGAAATAGGAAATAAATCAAACATGTGGTGTGCAATAAATTTAGCAATTTTATTGCGAAAAACCTGCAACGGAAAACAACATCTTGGCATCAATTGAATCAACTTGACAACCACCAAATACATTGCTGAATTAATAACATCAAACTGTGTGTTTTGCTTAATTAATCAAATTAATTAGTGAAGAAGGACAGTCTAATCATAACAACAATTGGTGTTTACTGTTGACTCGTTGTTATGGTCATAATCACATGAATGAAAGTGAAATTGCATGGCAATGCCGATATTCATCATGCTCGAAGATCCTCGGCCCGCAGAATAGAGACAAGGCCACTAATTTCTTTACGGGGGATGAAGATTTCTCTTTGCTGTATTGGTTTGGGAGTTTTTGGAATAGAAATCGGGGGTTTTGATTTGGGTAGGGTTTTGGGGGGTTAATTTAAAACGTATTAATTACATGATTAAATGTTATAATTAGTTAAGGGGATATTATTCAATTTCCTTAATTTTGGAGGGTAATGGCCCTAATTTTCCCTAACATCATTCAGAACACAGCCTCCCGTCTATGGCATGGCCCCCAGGCCCATTATCAATTAATTTTTGGTTTTTAAGAAACAAAAAGAATATTGGGACTCTTTGTTAAACAACCTAGTCAAATAACGTGTTTCGTTAAATAGCCTCCTTTCAATTTCTTCGTCAAATGGTCTTCAATTTTAAAATATAATAAATAAACAAGGAATATTATAATGATATCTTAATTTTTATTTGTTACACCACAATTTAATAACAGTTAAGCTACTCAATTTTTGTTCATTGTGGCAATTATTTCCTTACTTTTTTCTTCAAATTCTTATCTTCAACCTTCCACTAATTAGTATGTCTTGTCCTTGATGATGATTTATATCAAAATATTTTATTTTCATATTTTGAAATGAGATAAATATATTTTTTTCACTTTTTATTTATTTATTTTTTAAAAATACGATGAAAAAAAAAGTTGTACGCTATTTCAACGGACTTTTGGATATAAAATTGTTATCAAATATAAAATAAGTTAACACACTGTTTGAGGGTAAGAATGTTATGAGAAATCATTAGGGACATAAGTACTACAATAAGCAAAGATTAAAAGCATTATGTGTAATTAAAATGTGGTACATGAATAAAAATTGTGGTGTGAATATAATTGCCCAGTAAACAATATCAAATGTTATAAATATCCTCAAAATTGAAAAAGACCTTAACACCCTTATCAATTTAACTCATTTTTAGGTAATTTAGTATCTACAAATTCCAAACCCCTGTTTTCTATCTCTTGAACGGGCCGTGAAAAAAAAAATGTAGCTTTTGAAATCTCATGTATATTCTACTTTTTATTTTATAATATAGTATGAAACGATATTTTAGTTTGTATTATTTTCATATTTATTGTGTTCTTGAATTGTCTGAATTTATGATAACAGCACTCCAGCCATCATCTACAGTGTAGAACGACACTACATTTGTTATCCATGCAAAACAACACTACAACTATTATCCATGTAAAATGACACTCAATTGGATAAATTATTAGTGTTCTAATTGACAAGGGGTATAGAAACAAGAAAAGCTCTATTCATTTATGCACCTTAATCTTACATACAAATGTGCTATTGCACAATTCAATTATCTTCTCGTTCTCACAATCAAATAAATATTAATATGATGACAAACTTAAATTTCGATCATACAACGCACAATTAAGTAAAAAATGATGGCTAGTACCTCTTGAATCAGATGCAATATAACATTAAGTGTCCATTTGATAGGCAAATGTGACAAAGAATTCAAATTCTATGTTAGTTGGAAAATAAAAACTCATCAAACTCATAGGAATTCATTTTCCATGAAAATAAAGAAAATGTAGTTTAAAGAAGTTGTACCTTGAAATTCGATTTTCATTTTCACGTTGCAATCAAACGATCAAAGTGAAATTTGTTTTCCTCGGATGTGATATTTTTCATGAAATTCGTTACAATCAAATAAGGTCTAAAATCAAGAACTAGTTCAAGTGGTAAGAGTAAAATCCTGATAGATTGATGATTGTTGTTCGAACCTCCTTTTTGGGGAGGGTTGAAATCGAATGGTACATGACATTTAGACCACGTTTGATCTACATTATTATCTCATTAAAATGAAAAATATGACCGTTATTCACCATATCAACATTTAAATTCAAAATTTATATCTCTTATGTGGACCCCAATAACGACTATATTTTTCATTTTCATTCTACAATAATTTGGCTCAAACAGGGCGTTAATAATTTTTCAAATGATTTTTATTGACAGAAATCACAATCGTCTACAATGAAAAGTTGGAGACAACTCTATCAAGAAATAAAAGCTAAGGGCAAAAGTAAAAAGAGATGCAGATTAAACAAAAAGGGATTATCTTTATGCGGACCAAATCTATTCTAAGACACCAATTCTAAAAGTATTATGGTTACGGTTATGTTCTGTCAAAGCCTCAAAGATAATCGAATCCTATGGTTTTGGATAATGTTATTCCGTGACGTAAATTTGCAATTAAAGGATTGTACTCTGCTAAATTTGCAATTACAGAAGAATAAAGATTAACTTGTCTCAATTGTACAACCGTCAGTAGCTATCGAAAAAGAGGGATACGAGAGATTCTAATTTGAGTAAACGACAATGAAATGGTTCCGACAAGAAATGATTAAAATAATAAAATTGTCCCCGTAGGTGTGTCAGTATCAAACCAAAGCAAATTCATTAAAGAACAACAAACCCATCAAGAATTCTTTGATACTTTACTCAGCTTAACGGGTCATTTGGTTACTTGGATTTGGAATATTCATTTATTTCAATTTCAATCTCTATCTTAGCCATCTAAATCAATTTTATCCAAACGAATCCTCTTAGCTAAAAAATATATCCACTACAGAGAGTAATATGTATGATTTGTTGGCGAGTATTTATTTGGTGGGTTGATGAAATGGGGGGAATTGGAGCAATCTAGGGATTTAGAGAGGGCCCTTTTGGTTTGAGGATAAGGGCCGTTTCTGATTTGAAGGGATTTACTGTGAAAAGGAGATGAAGGATTTGATGGGGAGTCCAGGGTCAGTGAGTGGATTATTGTTGAGGATTTTGCAATGTATGTTTGCAGCTGGATCCATTGGAGTTATGGTTTCTGCTCATGGGTTTTCTAACTTCACTGCTTACTGGTATATTTCATTTCTCTCTGCCCATTTTTCCCTCAAGAATATATATTTTCACTGGTACCTTTTAAGTCTGATTTTGTTTTTAGATTGATTTGTGAGTGAAAATGAAAAGGGAATTTTGAATGTGGTATAGCCTTGAGGAGCCTGGTTTTGTTCAATATAACTGCAATGCGGTTTGTTCTGTCTGCCTAATACATCTGGATAAGATGGATCTATGACCCCCATTAATTTTCTTAAATTTTCCTGAATTTAGTGAGCTTAACATCTTATAACAGATGATATTGTTGTGTTTCATTCTGTATTGTTGGTGTGAGAATGAAAATTATCAATAGAAATGTTCATCAATCAGCCAGGATGCTGTTGGCGTTACTTCAGTAAGAGTTTTTAGCTTCCTATTTTAAACGTCTGGAAGTTCAAATGAAAGTAAATTGGTAGCTATTCGCGTTTATAGCGGCGTAGGCACAACTTTTAGTAGATGCATGTTATTTCTCGTGGAAAAATTACAGTGATCACTGATCATCAAAACCTGCAAAGCTGTAAAAACCAGAGTATGTATCTTCCTGATAGTGTAATGTCTACGGAATGCCTGATATTGGAAATATTCATGGAAGTTAGATTTGTACTTTGTTTTCTTAGTTATATTAACTCCAAATAATATCAACAGTGCTTTCTTTGATTTCCATTCAGAAAATCTTGTAAATATTTGGCCACATCTAATGTGCAATGGTCTTGGTTTTTTGGTCCTCGTATGGTACGAGATATTAAGATGTCTCTATAATTCTGTGCAAGTTGATATTTTTGTTTGTGTATTCTCTGCACGGTCTACAAAGAGTCATTGGATCTTAATCAGTTTCATAATTTTGATGACATTTAACTGTTTGATTCAGCTATCTGATTGCATCAATGGGGCTTCAAGTATTATGGAGCTTTGGACTTGCATGTCTAGATGCTTATGCTTTGTGGATAAAAAAAGACCTTCGCAATCCAGTCTTAGCGAGCCTGTTTGTTGTGGGTGATTGGGTAATTACCTTCCCTTTAATTTATTTACTGTATCGTACTTCCGCTCTCAACTTTTTATGATGCTTGATCTTGTTGTATGAAACCATATTGATAGCTATCATATTCCCTTGTGCCTTCATATTTAATCAACTCCTGTTATGACATCCAGTATATCCATTATCAAACAAATTGATTCTGTGACATTTTATTTTATCAAAATGAATTTGTGCCAAGCCTCTTGCCCCAGTTTTTGAGATAATGAATATGTTTTAGGTACAAATTTCCATTTCTCGAGTTGGGCTAGAGCACTTTAGAACTTTTCATTTGTAATTCAGGTGGTTATATTCATTTGCTAGGGCACTGTAGAAGTCTTATCCCTTACATGCTTAAGTACTATATAATTCTACATTGGACTTTGACAATGACACGATAGGATTCATGCCCACTATACTTGGAGTTAGCCACATGAATTTTTAATTGCAATATTTTACTTTCTGAAACTATTGTGAATTTTTTTTCACCATTTTGTGCAATCTGAAACTATCTAGTATCTCCTCTGACGAGTCCAATAATATCTTATCCTCTACAACCATTTTAGGCCATGATAAATTTCTTTTACCCCTTCATCTTGTTACATGTACAATGGAGATTACTATCACTTTTGTGAATGATAGCTGTTGGAAAATATGGATCATGGATCACCTGGGTGACCCATATCCACTAGACATTAAAAATGTTGGAGGGAGTGGTTTGAACTTGAAATTCAAACCTACAACTCCTTATAACCACGCTTAACTCTCGTACAACCTCCAATGGTTATTGCATGGAAAAAGAGAGAGAAGATGGCAAGAGAATGGTGAAATTCGTATGGAAAATCACACATAAAGTGAAAAAGCACTAGAGACCTCATTTTTGGCATAGAAACTCACAAAATTAGGCACTTATGTTGTTGATTATAATTCCCTTCCAATGTGATGGAGATTGAGACCATTGAAGTGCTAGAAAATGTAGAATTTAAAGCTTGGAAAGTAAGGTTTGAGGTTTTGAGTGGAGAAAATCATTCAAAGCTATAAGAACTAAACTTCCATAGAAAAAATCCATTCGAATTTCTTTGCGAGATAGAGATGAAATTTTATATTTCCATTACATTTATAGATGGATTCATGAATTTCAATTGTGCCTCTGATTTTCATAAGTTGAAGATATTGTATTGATTTAGACATTATTTAAAGGGAGTAAAAAATCAGATTATGGAAGTGAAGACTATGAAAACTATTTGAGATTGTGAATTTCTATCACGAGAGGTCCATGATCTAGGCAATGAAAGAAAAATTCTTATTGTATTGACTATTTTTTTATCACTAATAATTATATGGTTTTTTGGGAAGAAAGAATTGAATATTACTCAATTTGATGAGACTTGAGATAATGCAGTGCAATTTATGTATTTTCTTTTTGGAAGGGTATTGGTTAACTGCAATGTGTCACTTAAAGATTGTGAATTTCTATCACGAGAGGTCCATGATCTAGGCAATGAAAGAAAAATTCTTATTGTATTGACTATTTTTTTATCGCCAATAATTATATGGTTTTTTGGGAAGAAAGAATTGAATATTACTCAATTTGATGAGACTTGATATAATGCAGTTCAATTTATGTATTTTCTTTTTGGAAGGGTATTGGTTAACTGCAATGTGTCACTAAGGAGTTGTCTTAATGTTAGTACATTCAGAATATATAAGTTTTGGACACATAGATAACCAAATATAGGTTGTCTTGGACTCATAGTCGACTACGTAAGTTCTTGATAATGAGTTTGGAAACATTAGTCTATTAAAAATTATATATATATATATATATATATGACAGTCCAAAGGATACTTGTTCATAAGTGAAATTTGGGTGGATATCGAGTCACAAGATGTGATATTTGACATTTTTCCTAGTAAATGAGAAAATTTGGAGAGTATTATTGAAATTGAAATTATGTATATTGATGAATCGATTTTGAATACCTAAGAGTTGGTTTAAGCTTTTAATTCAAGTGAGAGTAATCTATTTCTGAGTGGGAGCTATCTAAGAACTATCTAATTTCACCGATTCTTGGTTCCGAGTGGGAGCTAAGAACTATCTAATTTCAATGATTATTGGTTCAGAAAAACAGTTGAAAAATTTGAGAAAAGTGATAAATTTATATATGGAGTATAGAATTTCAACATAATTTGAGATATGGCGGAAGTTCTAATTGGACATTATGTTTGTTGATAACATTCAGGTTCTTAAAAATTAAATGGAAGACTAATGAGTTTATGATAGATAAATCTCATTTTTTATAAAAATGTTATACTCAATATGAGTGTATTAAATTAGATAGTTTTTTTTAATGGTGAGATTCACTTCTATACTTCTATACTAGTCATGATAGTATGTTTAAGTTTAGATTACACCAAATAGATTTAGAGACTGTATTTTCATTCACAATTGAGAATTGATTGGAGAGATCTACATGAATCTATTTGCAGGTTTTATGTTGAAGGCTTTTATAGTATTGTGTTAATTTTATAGTTACACTTGTATCCTAATGTAGTCATCTTGACATTAGTACTTGAGTTTTAACAGGGTTTAAATCTTGTACAAAATTTCATCATGTAGATGAAGTTTACTGTATTTATGTAAAAGTCTGATGGTAGGTTATAATTCTAATTTTGATGTTGATGACACTATATTGGCTAAGCATAAGAACAAGTGTATTGAGACAATTTTGAAATAGTTGTCCTTAATCTTTGAAACGAATGACATGGATTTAGCAAATTGTATGTTTCATGTTAAAAATATTATTCTAGTCTTCTTTATTATTCACAAGTACTGTATACTATAAACATTCTAGAATATTTGTAACTGTAGAATTGCTATCTTGTTGATACTCCTATATTGGAAGGTGATCATATGAGTCTTCATATATGTCCAAAGACTCTATAAGTGCACAAAGAAATATCCGGAGAATCATATCTAGTACTTCTAGAAATTAGACGTATGCTATGATAAATACTTGTCCTATCATTTGTCATGCCGTGGATTTAGTCAGTAGGTATCGATGTTATCATTAGATAAGTATTGTGATACTTGATGGGTACTGCTGTTAGTTATTCTATTTGTTGTCGAAAGAATGACTTGTGATTGGATTAGATATGCGAATGTAGATTAAGAATGAGAGTTAGTCGAGCACAAATAGTTATTAATCTTGTACAATCTTGCTATATAGAGTAGCAAGAAGCATATATGATGTATTCGACATCTAATGATGTATAGATGTATTCGACATCTAATGATATTAATTGTGAATATATGATCTGTGATAATTATGTATTTATCTAGAGTGTTGAAGATCTTAAGTATCACGATGGAGCCAAACTTTCGATTGTATTTCTGTAAGAGATGTTAGCAAAGAAAGTGTCTTTGTGATATATCTATGTAGATGATAATATGTAATCATCTTACTTTGAAGCAGTGTTCTAAAATGCGTAATGTGTTGCGATGCGTCGAGGTCGAGAATCAAGAATCACAAGTTTAAGAGTGTCAATGCGGAGAATAGGCGTCATAATGCGTTTCGTACTTTTAATATTATTTTAATATAATAAATAGATTTTTATATTAAAAAAAGCAATTTTTTATATCATATTAAAAATTTTAAAAAAATTTGGGCGTCTCAATGTGCACCTAAGCGCACATAGGCTCTCCTGATGCACGCATATGTGCATTGAGACGCCTAGGCGTGCTTAGGCGGTCAACAAAAATTGTTGACCGCATTTTTATGCTCATTGCCCAATTTGAAGCGTTTTCTACGTGCGTCGTGCCTAGGCGGCGCATTTGCGCGCATTTTAGAACACTGCTTTGAAGATGTCTAGAGATATTCTTGTTTGTAATGTCAAATCTTTATAATTAAGTAGAATATGATACTTAGTGTATCTAAATACTCTTGATTGAGTTTTGCGTACTCGTAGATGAACAATTTTGAGTTCATGTGTAATCTATTGTTGGGATTACGAGAGAATGATTTGCATGCATATATAAAGTATGTTGAATAGATTGAGATTGGTTCACTTACACGAACAATCGCTTGAGACACTTTGAGGTGTGCTAAGATGAAACAATGATCATGTTGAGTATATGATCCAGTCGCCTTGATAAGATATCAAGATGAGATTACAACAAGTAATCAAAATGAATTTTGCTAATCCATTTAGGCTCTGTCTGGGAGCGATTTATTTTGGAAAAAAAGCGCTTTTTTTACCGTTGCAGACCACAACGGTCAAAATTTCACAAAATGGACTGAAGAAGTGTCAGAGGAAAATTCCCTTTGTGCCCTCCATTAATTATCCCTTTTTGAATTGGTCAACTGGTGTCATAACATTTCAGTACATTTCTGCAAAAGTAATGGCAAAATGGTAATTGAGCCATGTACATTTATTGAATGACCAAAATCTGCAGGCACGTGGCATCAACTAACGGTTCAAAAATCGATTCCCATTCAGCGAGAATTGCTCCCAGACACCGCCTAAACCTATTTTAGTAGTCATATCGAGTTTTCGATTTGAGATTGGTGTTATTTGTTTATAAAGAATATGACATACGACCAAAGAAAGAGAGAAAACATTTTAGCATGTGTGCTTTTACGACCAATATTGGATAAATGAGTGAATGGATCAATGCTTCCTCATTTTAAGAGACCTTGAGGTTTCCATAACCTTATATATACCCTTATGACTTTTGACTGTTTCTTGAGATTTTATTTAGGGTATGTTTGGTAGAGATTAAAATCGGATTAAAATTGAAAAACTAGTCATTATTGTTGACTTTTATTAGACGAGTGAGACTCAATAACGGCTACATTTTCAATTTTAATTGGAAACAAACAGGCTCTTAATGTTGTATGTTATCAATGACTATGATTGATTTGGTTTGATGGGATAAATCTAGGAAAGTAGCTGATTAAAAGTGGAAGAATTCAAGTAGGAAAGGAAAACTATTTTGACCAACATTTATATTTCTATTCATCGGCAGAACACTTCTATTTAACCATTGAGGGTATAGAACACAATTGTTAAAACAATGATACAATGTGGGGTACAAGTATGTTCCATAAATATTTGAGGGATCGAAAATACTTGAATTAATATTGAAAAATGAGTTTGGGGTATAGCGAGATGTAATGTTCCTCTAAAAGTGTCACTATATATCCCTAACAGGTTTATAGAACCGTCAACTCTAATATGTAATCGCTGGTTGCATGATCTATTTGCCATATGAATCTTTGGACTTTGAGAAGGATCTAACATGTGATATTCATTGTCACTTATGATTCGTGTTAAGCTCATCATGTACGAGTAGGAGATGTCGGAAAATATGGGTCATGGGCCAACCAATACATGTGGGGTGACTCAACCTACAAGACATTAAAAGGTTGAAAGGAGCGGTTTGAACTTGAAATTCAAACCTATAACTCCCTATAACCACCCTTAATTCCCGTACAACCTCCAATGGTTATTGCATAGAAAAAGAGAGAGAAAAGATGGCAAGAGAATGGTGAAATTTGTATGGAAAATCACACATAAAATGAAAAGCACTTGGAACCTCATTTTTGGCATAGAGACTCACAAATTAGGCACTTAGATTGTGGATTATAATCCCCTTCCATTGTGATTGTGATCAAGACCATTGGATTGCTAAAGAATACAGAATTTGACGCTTGGAAAGCAAGGTGATTCAACCTTACAAAAGATCTTGAAATTCATCAATTCAAGTAAACATCTTGACCCGGAATTTCATATTTATGAATGCTGCGAATTCCTACAATAGCTTGATTAGGTTTATCTACTCTAGCCATCTGAGTAATCTTTCCTTTAGTTTATCTTCAATTTGCACTGCCTCTCTGTTATTGTGGTTTCTGGTTTCCTATTTTATTCATTCTAATAAGACTGAATTGAGAGTATACCATGAATGACCGGACGTAGAGCCACTAAGAGATGGCAGATCATGCCAAGGTTAAGTTCCAGATCCAAAAAGTTGACTATCAGATCAGCCTAGTGCACCAACCACATGGTACGAGGGGCAGTCAAAGACCTAGCGAACGATGGATCACCCCACCGAAGAGCCCTTTTGTCCATCTTATGTCCTAATAGCCCCTTTTTTTCGTGTACATTTTATCTTCCAATGGTCCAACACCTCTAAATGTAGCTTGTCCAATAGTCATTCTATAGAAATTTCTCTTAAACTGTGCAAGTAATTTTCAAGCACGAGGAATCCGTTTTACCTTTCTCCATTTGTACAAACCACTTTAATTCTATGCATTAGATGCACCTCAATTCTTTGTTAAAATCGAGCAACAGTACCTGATACAGAGCCAAATCCCCATGCCGGCTATGACATTACATAATTTTTAAGTCATTTATTTTTTTAAATAAGCAGCCTCCAACTATTTCATTTTAGGATTTGACTTTGATTTTGATTTAAAAAACATAATTTTGAGAGGTGCCTTCAATTCTTTGTTCCAAGATGGTATTCATGTGTGAATCAACGATCACACATTATTATTCTTGATTGCTTCCTCTATCTGCGTCAGTACCTAATAATTGCTCTTTAGGACAACAATTCATCGACTTGACAATTGTCCTTATTCTTGCTATTACTAAAAGGGCTTCAAATATATTCACCTTTTGTTTTAGTTAATTTTAAAAAATAAAAAATAAAAATTGAAACACCATCTAAGCCTAGGCGAGTTTTTTAGGTCTCTTGAAATCTTTTGATTCCAAAGTCTAGATAAGAAAGATGGATTGGTTTCTGGCATTTTTTTTCAGACAGCTACATGCATAATCAAGTTTTACCAGGCTTGTATTACATGTTGAAATTTGCATTCCTATTTATTAACTACTGCAATCTCTGGAAGGTTTCCTTGATGCTTTTATTACAGTACTTATCCCTGGCATTTTTTTGTTGCCTTTCTCATGCTTTTACACCTTAAATCCATTATTTTCCACCTCAGTTTAGTGAATAATATCAGATCAAATGCAGGTAACAGCTACCTTATCACTCGCAGCTGCGTGCTCTTCTGCAGGGATCTCAGTTTTGTACGGGAAAGACCTGAAATTTTGTAGGGGTCCAGTACATCTCCCGTGTGACAGATTTGAGCTCTCCATAGCTCTGGCATTCGTGACATGGTTCCTAGTCGCAATGTCTTCTCACGTGACATTTTGGATCTTAGCGTCTATTTAAAATATTCAAGATCAGGTTACTTTTGTGCCTTTTGACATATTCCCCACCTATAATCACGTGTAAATCTAACTATTGCTGTTTAACTTATTTTCTCCTTCGAATTGTCAATTTTCCTTTTCACTTTTGGTTCTTAGTTCACTTTGACATGTTGAGTTTCTCGGGTCTAATGGAGGTTGATTAAGTTTAGAAGAGTTGATGTATCTGCACTTAAGGTACTGAATTTGCACATAATTAAATTGACAGTATATAGGGCACTGACTAGCTATGACATTTGTACATAATCAAATTGACATCTTGTTAAGATTTTCTGATACATTTTGCTCTGATCAATGATGACAATGCCTAATCCGTTAATCAGCGATGGCCACAAGAAAAAGCTCGTCTTGTGGCTTGACGAAAAATAATGATTGGTAATTTGGGGTCTGTCTTTGAAGCTTCACCTGTAACTATACTGATGACACATTCAATTTCTTCAGCCACTTCTTTCATCGAATGCCGATTCTGCCTTTGTTCGCTCATCCATACACGCTGCTGCCAGATTCCCAATTGCTTTCATCCCCTTCTTTGAGCACTGATCAACAACATGCATCAACTTCTCTTCATCCATTATCACCAGGTTCACATTTGCTTCTTCTCTGTTAAAGTCTATAGCTTTTTTCAAGGTCAGTAGCTCCGTAGAATGACTCCAAAACTGTAAACATCGCTCCTGTCTGTTAATTGGAGGTTGAGGTAATATTCTGGATCAATATAGCCTGAAGTTCCAACATATCTAGAAGTAGTTACTTGTATCTATCTAGACATTTATTAATATAAAAACCAAGTTGCGTAATTGCAAGACGTTAGAATGCCCAAAATGATTAAGGTAGAAGATTACCATGGAGATGTCAAACTAGTTAGGCAGTACTAGAAACAGTGATGGAAATTACAACCTCGTCAAGAAAAAGACGTAAAACACTAGAAAAAATGACGGAAATCGCGATCTTGTTAAGAAAAGATGCCGAATTTTGTATGTTGTGAGTGAAACTTGTGTTGGATGTGAGGACGGACAATTTTTACGTTAAAATGTGAGTAACGCCAAATTTGGCCCAAACTTGGGTTGATGAGTGAGTCGGATCAATCTTATCCTGCAGAAGGCTAAAGCCGAGCTTGAGAAATAGGATCGGGTGCCTAGACGAAGCTTTACTTCTTTGATAATGTATGTGGGAGGGCTTTTTTAAGTTCAAAAGCGATTCTTGGAGAGTCAAAACTCTTTTGGTTAAAATAATGTATAC